ATACCCTTTAGAGCAATTCCTTCATTTCAAATAAGGACATCAAGGCTCAGTGTCTTGTTTAAGGTTGTGTGGTTGTTTAGCATCAGGGCTTGGACAAGAATCCCTGTAGTCCAATTCCCATTTGAATGAACTGTGCTTTTTGTCCAATGGCTTCTTAAACTCTTCACCAAGCTTTCTTATTTATTTACTTTTTGAAAAATAGAAAAGATTCATTTCGGGATCAGCCTTTATGCTGTTAGGCTAAGTTTAAATTTATAATGTTCAGAGGTTGTTTTCATAGCCCATTCCTGGGTGGCACAAATGGTTTACACTCAACTACTCGCCTAAAGGTTGGTGATTCATTCCCACCCAGAGTGCCGTGGAAATAAAGCCTGGCGATCTGCTTCTGTAAAGATTACTGTTAAGAAAATCCTATGGAACCATTCTACTCTGTAACACATGGGTCCGGGTAGTCAGAATCCAACGATAATGAGTTTTTCTTTCCTGGTTTCCCTCTCTGAGAAGGCGTGGAGGCAGGAGGGTGAAGGATTACTTGAGGGGGTTTGGACCACTGGTGGATGGATGTGACAACCACAATTGCTTGCATTCCTGGTACCTCACCTCTGGTCCAGGGCCTAGGGTGCTTTTCTTGATTCTGAATTTCTTGGGCATCTCTGGGCTAGCCTGGCTTCTGTCTGAAGACAGGGGATAGATAGGCTTACAGTCTGTGCAATTCCAGGGCAGGGCAAAAGGACTGGGGGTGGGTGGGTGGAGGGAGTGCTATGCAAATACCAGGGTTTGGTCCCTAATGCTGCAGTCCTGGGAGATGAGGGAACTGCACAGCCAGGGCATTGTGCTCCCCTTGGGGGCCAGGAGGCACTTTGTATTTAATTAACTTAATTAACATTTGTATTGCAGTTTGTCACATGTATCATCTCTTTTTAATTTTCACAGCCTCCCATTTAGGTTGGCGGTATTAGCCCAGTTTTATAGATGAGGAAACAGGGAATGAAACTGATGAGCTGGTTTAATTAAGCTGTACAGGTAGGGGTGACCTTGAACTCAGCTCTGACCCAAACACCGTGTTCCTAGACTAAGGAAACCGTGTAGCTCTGTGACCTGGGGTTTGGACTTTGTGATTTGGCAGTCTGTGTCTCCTCTCTATGTACTCATCTGTCTGAGGGGATCATCACAAGACTCTGAGGAGGAAGGATTGAGATAGCGCCTCCTAACCAACTAGCACACATGGTAACCTTGTGATTAGCAGCCTGATGCTTAACCCACAGCACCACCAGGGGTCCTTGTGTGAAACACCAGGTATGATTATTGAGTGGTCAGCAGTCAGCAACCCACTTTTGCAGAGGGAATGAGCACATCTAAATTATTCCAGGCTCTTTACACAAGTCTCCTTGTGTTAGGGAAGAAGTAGGGGGACTAGGAGTGTGTATTTTGAAAGCCCTCTGGTTGATTTTAATACCCTCCAGTACTTGAGAGTTCATAACGCCACACGTCTTTGCTCAGGCTCCTTCTCAGACTTTCTAAATCAAAATCTGCATTTTTAAAAAGGAGATTGGAATGCGCATTGGAGATTGAGAAACACAGTAAGATTAAGAACATGGTAATAAAAAAATGTTTAAATCTGGATTCGAGAGCACACGCATGTTGCAGTAGCACAAGTCAGAAAGAACTCAACTCGAAAATCTTAAAGAGCAAAGTTTATTGCCAGCGGCCAGAGTGTCAGCTAAAGCCCAAACCGTAGGGCAGGGGGATAGGGTTTTATACAAGAAACAGGGAGCAGGAGCAGTTAAAACACAGACTTGTCTTGTTACCTGGGGTGGAAAATTCCAGCAGACCCTTATCCTGTAAGTGGGAGTAAACTTAGCAATAAACCCTTATCCTGTTTGTGCAGATAGGCTGGTGTTTTTTAGCCAAGTCTTTATCCTACTTGTTCTGGTGTCCTTGGGTCATTTTAACCTTCTCAGTTTTTCTGTAAGAAGTTTATTATTTTTCCATAGGGTGAGGTGGTTGGAGGGGGGAGGCAGGGTGAGACAGGGCTGAAAGGATTTAGAGGATACCGAGTTTAAATGTGGGCTGTTAGTCATGCTGTAACACCCACACTATCCACATCAGTTTAGGAAAGAGTTGTCCCCCTGGGTATTTAGCAACCACACGGTAAACAATCATGTTGAAATACCTGGTTTGCACTTGGGGACAGAAGCAGGCGATAAGGGAATTGAACCTGAAAACCGGAGCCTGGGACAGGGCCAGCCAGGGAAGACTGCGGCAAGACTCAGTCAGAACTGAAAGCAGTAAGACGAGGCTGGGAGTCAGTTCAGGCCAGGTGACCATCCATCTTATCTGCAGTCTTCTTGGGCTGGGTACAGTGCCAGTCCAGGAGCCTCCCACCCCCACCCCACCACCACTTGCTGGCCAGGCACTCTGAGGTTCTTAGCTCCGCCCCCTGTACCAGGCTCCTAGGATCGCTTAGGAGGATGCCAGCTGGCGTCTCCACCTTCACTAGGCTGTTCTCTGGGCTTCAGGTTTCTCTCTGCCGCTCTCCTGCACTGACCTTGCAGCTTTTCCTTCCCTCCAGACAGAGGAGACTGCCAGTTGAGACAGAAATGTTCAAAGGGTTTGGGAAGCTAGGAAAGTGGTCCTGTGGACCCTCTGGAGTTAGGGGTGAGTAATGGTGGAGGGAGCATGGAAGAGAAAGGTTGCTGGGCCACTGAAATGGTCCCTGGCTCCTCCGGCCAAAGCTCCCATTAATGGGAAGAGTCAACAGCAGATGTCTGGTGCCCTATAGCCACTGGCACAAGCCCTATTGTGTCCTTATTTGGTTTGTCACTAACTAGGACTATCCCGGGGCTGCATCTCAAGGGAGATGAGGAAGAAGCAAAGGGGAAAATGGGAGAAGGGGTCTGATGTCAGAGTTAAGGGGTAGATTGGGTCATCTCGCTGGAGAAGGGAAGAATGGGAGTTTCTGCAGTCTGGATATCAGGGCCTTTTATAAGCCATTTGTCTCTTTAAACCTCAATTTCTCTTACCTGTATGATCCTGGGTAGCCCAAACAGTTAAACACGGACTAGCTAAAAGTTTGGCAGTTCAAAGTCACCCAGAAACACCTTGGAAAACAGGCCTGTTGATCTGCTTCGGAAAGGTCTCACAGCCTTGAGAACCTCATGGAACAGTCCTACTCTGAGCACATGGGGTTGTCATGAGTCAGCATCAACCACATGACTTGTACAGTCTCATTAGATTGCTGATTGAGATTTTCTTGCTTCTCTCTCTGGTAGAGATCCCTAAGTAGCACAGACAGTTTTCACTAACCGAAAGGTTTGTTTCAAACACACCCAGGGGCACTGTGGAAGAAAGCCCTGGCGATCTGCTTCTGTAGATTACAGCCAAGAAAACCCTGTGGAGCAATTCTAGTCTGTAACATAATAGCGTCGCCATGGGTTGGAATTGACTCGATGGCAACTGGTTACATCTAGTAGAATGTTCGCAATCAACCATCTTAGTTCCTTGTTACTATTCCCACCCCCAGGGGAGTCCCCATTTCCCCATCTACATCGGATGGTCAGTGGTGTTGACCAGGGTTACTTTACTCTCCATTTCCTTCTACTCCTCTTTCAGAACTTTAAGGATGAATGATGGATGGTGTACCATGAAGTCAGATCCGACTCATAGCAACCCTTTATAGCGTTTCTGAGGCTGTAAATCTTTATGGGAACAGAAAGCCTCATCTTTCTCCCACAGAACAGCTGTTAGTTTCAAACTACTGACCTTGAGATTTGTAGCCCGACTGGTAGCCACCACGCTAAAGCCCCTCCTTGTATTGTTGTTGGTAGGTGCCATTGAGTTGGTACGGACCCATAGCGACCTTATGCACAGCAGAACAAAACACTGCCCGATCCTGGGCCAACCTCGCTATTGTTGCCACGCTTGAGTCCACTGATGTTGCCACTTGGCCAATCCATCTCATTGGGGGTCTTCCTCTTTTCCTCTGACCCTCCACCTTACCAAACATGATATCCTTCTCTAGCAACTGCTCCCTCCTGACAATATATCCAAAGTATGAGAGACAAAGTTTGGCCATCCTGGCCTCCAAGGAGCACTCTGGCTGCACTTCTTCCAAAATGGATCTATTGGTTCTTTTGGCAGCCCATGGCACTTTCAATATTCTCCTCCAGCACCAGAACTCTAATGCATCAATTCTTCTATGGTCTTCCTCGTATTAAGATGGTATAACAATAGCTACTATTTATGCAGTAGGTGGTAGGTACCATCCTGGAAGTATTATAAATATTGACATATTTCATCCTTATAATGATCCTGTGATGTGTGTACCACTAGTATCCTCAAATCACATGCGGGACAGAGGAGTTCAATAATTCCCACAAGGTCAAACAGCTAGGAAGGGGTTGATTGGGATTGAGACTCAGGCAGTTGGCTCCAGGGTCTGTGCTTTAGATCATTCTGCTAGAGCAATTATGAATCATCGTTTCATACTTGGAGCCTAGAGACATGGGAAGAGCAGAGAGGAGTGCAAGAAGGTGATTGTATCATCTCTGTCCAAGCAATCCGCTTGGTAAAGTCCTGTTACCCTTTATGACTATGGCTGCTCTGATGGCCCAGGCTGCTTCTGCTCATGGGTGGGGCAGAACATGGACAGCTCCAGCCCCAGGATCCCCAGCAGCCTCGTGGAACTCCCTGATGGCTTGTGCCACATCCTATGCACTGGCAGCAAAAGGGTCCATCTCTAGCAGTGGTCCACAGTCTTGCAGGTACAGTCCCCGTGTGCTGGCAGGCTGCCCACCCTCTGACTTCCTGTCACAGCAGCTAAGCTGCTGAGGATGGATCGGAAGCTATGGGGCTACAACGTTTTTCTAAGAAGCACATGGTGTGTCTTGCCAGGCAGGAAATGTTCCGCACCCTAGAAATGTGTTTACTTGCTCATCGCCGTCACCTGAACCATGTCTGATCCTTCCTTGTTCCCTGTCTGTCTCTCCCGTGCACCCCAGGCACCCAGGCTTGTGGAAGATACTCACAGTGGCAGCATGCACAGCCCTTCTGGGCGGCCTGCAAGCCCAGGAACTCCAGGGACATGTCTCCATCATCCTGCTGGGAGCAACTGGGGACCTGGCCAGAAAATACTTATGGCAGGGGCTGTTCCAGCTCTACCTGGAGGAGGCAGGGAAGGGCCACACATTCAGCTTCCATGGGGCTGCCCTAACGCCCCCCAAGCAAGGCCAGCAGCTCATAGACAAGGCCCTGCAGACCCTCTCCTGTCCCGAGGACACAGCCCCTGGTCACTGTGCCAAGCTCAAAGACCAGTTTCTGCGGCTAACACAGTACCGCCAGCTGAAGACGGCTGAAGACTATCAGGCACTGAGCAGGGACATCGAGGCACATGTCCAGCAGGAAGGCCTCTGGGAGGCTGGCAGGATTTTCTACTTCTCCGTGCCACCTTTCGCGTATGCAGACATTGCCCGCAACATCAACAGCAGCTGCCGCCCTGGCCCAGGTACCTGGCTGCGGGTTGTCCTTGAGAAACCCTTTGGCCATGACCACAGCTCGGCCCAGCAGCTGGCCACAGAACTGGGGAGCTATTTCCAAGAGGAAGAGATGTATCGGGTAGACCACTACCTTGGCAAGCAGGTAAGTTTCAGCCAGGGGTCTGCCAGGTTGGGGTAAGCTGGCTCCAGGGAGATCCCATCACCAGTCCTGAAGATGTTGTGGCACCCCTGAGCACCATGGTCTTCTTAAAGATAGTGGGTGGGGAGTGAGAGGACAAAGGAAAGACAGTGGGCAGCAAAGTCATGGCAGCTTGGTTTTTGGCTAGCCTTGCTAGTGAAGGCTGGCCTCTTATGTGTCTCCCTGCCCCTTTGGGCTCTGGTATCTGGTGATCAAAGCTGCCAGGCACCCTCTGTAGAGATGTGGAGCTGCGACCCTGCTGTCCAGATCAGCTCCCACTTGGGTGTGTGGTGGGAATTAGAATTAGTCTTATTCAGCACCCATCTTTTTCTTTTTTCCTTCCTGAGTCCTGGTAGCAAGTTCTTAAAACTGAGCACGGGAGAGAGGATCCTAAAACCATGCTTCTCAGTCAGGACATGTAGCAGGAGCCTAGGGCTGGGAACGCTGGCCATGCCGTAGAGCCCCCCTTATGGTGTCTCCTCTGAAACCCTGTGTTCTCTGGTCCCAAACCAGCTAGGCAATGCAGGGCCGTGGGGTGGGCAGCAGGGTGGAGGCATCTCAGCTGATCCACCTGAAGATTGCAATCAATCCTGGGCTGGCAGCCACTAGCTTGGGTACTCATTTGTGCTTTGCCAAGCTCTTGACTTAATTTTCCTGTCTGAGGCACTTGCCTTCCTGTTAGGAAATGTTGGTTTCAGGATGCCCAGGAACAATGCCTGATAAAGCATTTATGGTGGCCAGGGGACAGTGAGACCTAGACAACTCTCTAGGATAGAGGCATTTTTTTCTACTGAGCCCTCTTTGGAGCTGCCCAGTGTTCAAATGGTAATCCTTAGACCAGTCCCTCTCCTGAGAAACTTTCCACCCTCTTAAAGCAAAATGAGGGAAAGTACTGAATGTATTCAGTTTGAAGGCTTTCTTGCTATATTGTTGGCACTAAAGTATCTTCCCTTTATGATAAGTTGATGGTAATGGAAGATTGAAATTTTAAAATATTTTTCTTTCTTGCCAAAATAAGCTGGTATTCCTGTGGAGGTCATTTAAGACTTACTTGGAGATTTTCCTGGGCTGTGAGGCCTTGATGCCCAGGAGTGCCCTGCTCTAGATAGTACCTCCTTCAAGCACAGTCTGGTGAGGGCGGGGCCCCTGCAGTGAGGAGTCCTTCATTCTGACAAGAGACTGAATCATAACCAGTCTTCTTCCCCACCAGGCTGTGGCCCAGATCCTGCCATTCCGAGAGCAAAACCGCAAGGCCTTGGACCACCTCTGGAGTCGGCACCATGTGGAGCGGGTAGAGATCATTATGAAGGAGACCGTAGATGTGGAAGGTATGTGAGGGGTCCCAGGGATCCACTTAGTGGGGCTCTGTGGGGAGGGTCAGCCAGAGTGATACTTTCTGCTGTGTGGCCCCTTTCCAGGGCCAGCTGTGTGCCCAGCTCTGGTACTGTGTTAAATCTAGGTGTCCACCAGCAAAGCCCAAGGACTGACACCCTCAGGAATGAACTGTCCAGCAAGTGAACTAACTACTGTTGTTAGATGCCATCAAGTTGGCTCTGCCCAGAGCGATCCCACGTACAACAGAACAAACACTGCCTGGTCCTATGCGTCTGCACAGCCATTCCTGCATTTGAACCCATTGTTACAGCCACTGAACCAATCTTTCTCATTGAGGGTCTTCCTCTTTTTCACTGACCCTCTGCTTTACCAAACATGATGTCCTTCTCCAGAGACTGATCCCTCCTGATAATATGTCCTAAGTACGTGAAACAAAATTGTGACATCCTTGCTTTGAGGGGCATTCTGGCTGTATTTCTCCCAAGATAGATTTATTTGTTCTTCTTAGGGTTCTTTCAGAATTCATCTCCAACACCATAACTCAAATGCATCAATTCTTCTCCGGTCTTCCTTATTCATTGTCTCGCTTTCACATGTATATGAAACAATTAAAAATACCCTGGCTTGGATCTGGAGCACCTTAGTCCTCAAAGTGACATTACTCTCTAACACTTTTAAAGAGATCTTTTGCATCAGTTTTATCCAGTACAGCACGTCATTTGATTTCTTGACTGCTGCTTCCTTGGCATTGATTGTGGCTCCAAGTAGAATTAAATCCTTGACAACTTCGATATTTCTGTTTCTCATGATGTTTTTTTATTGGTTGAAGCAACTGGCAGGCAGTATATACTGGTCACTAATCTGAGTTCCAGTGGTGAAGACCATTGGAAGTGAAGGAGGACTCAGGGAGGAGAAGAACCTGGAATGGTTGGGGCTGGGTTATTAAAAGAGGAGAAAGAGCAAGACCCTAGGAGGCAAGGACAACCAAAGGGGAGAGGAAGGAGGAAGGCCTGAGGATGTTGTTGAGCTGGTCAGACTAACACCAGCTCTGGACAGACATGGGAATGTTGGCATGATGTGGTGTGGGGTTTGAGGCTGTCCTGGGTTCATATGGGCCCTGAGGAGGCAGCATCTCAGGGACCGATGACTGGCTCTTAGACCCACAAGGCCTAAGCTGTCAGCCTTGGCTGACCTTCCTATCACCCCTCTCTGTATTGCTTCCTGGACCCTGGCTCTTGCTTCTCAGTCTTCTGTTCATCACTGTGCAGTGCCCTTCTCCTGGCCCCTCCTCAACTTCCATCCCCTTCTTCGCTCAATTGTCACTCTCCTCAGAAGACCTTTGCTGACCGTCTTGACTAGGTTCATTCCCCACTCCCCTGCACTTGCTTAAAGTACCCCTCACAGCCCGACCACCACGTTCTATGCTTCCCCACCAAACTGGACTCCTCAAGGGCCCCCCTCTAGCATGCAGCCCACATTTTGGATGTGCTGAATGAATGCTGACCCTGAGTCAGGAAACCTTTGTGAGTTGGGTCACCTCAGCGTGTCCCTGCCGTCTCTGGACTCCGGTTCCACAAGAATCTGCAAAATGAGCAGGTTGTGTAAATGATGAGCATAAAGCCTCTTGGAGCCCCGGCGTTCTGAGCTGTCACCACCTGTTTTGAGCACTGACTGTATAGAAATCGAAGCTGATTCCTGTTGTGTGTGCAATGCCCCAGCAACGTCTGCAGTAGGCACTATTATTAGAGGAGGTTTGGCAACTTGCCCAGGGTCCTGCCAGCACTGTGGTGGAGCCTGGGTCAGGGCGGGCAGACTGGCTCCAGCATCCGGCTCTGCACTGTCACACTAGATGGCCAGAGCAACCTGCATGTCCACCTTACCCCTGGGACCACTTTCTGCAGCTGGAGGCAGGCTACCAGAGTCCACGTCCCCATCCACCCACATGTGTGACCATGGCCCAGAAGAGGGTGGCCCCAATCTTTGACCCAGGTGAGGGTGAGGGAGCCAGAGGATGCCTCTTTCTCATCTTCACCTTGTTCTTTCTCGTACCCTTCCCTTTTGCTTCTGCCATGGTTATTCATGTCAGCTCTCTCTCCTGTCCTCCTTGGCTGTGTGTGCAGAGCTAGGAGCTCTCTGCAGGGCTGTGCAGGATAGACAGAGAGGTGTGAGACCCATTTTCTGTCCATCATCACCTCATAGCTTCATGGGGAAGGAAGAGACTCTAGAACCTATGATGCAGGACCTCAGGGGTAGGTAGGCAGGGGGCACTTACCCAGACCTTAAAGGATACCCTGTCTGAGAAGGAGCCAGAACCCATATCAGAAAAGGGGTCTTCCCCTATCGTTCTGAACCTGTGTGGGTCTCGGGGGAACACCCCGACTGTGCTCCTCATCAGGGGCTCAGCCAGGGGACCTTCCTCGGGCCATGTGTGTCTGGTGGGAGTGTGTGCTGGTTTGCCATTGCTTCCTCTTCAGAGAGGTGAGCTGCAGCTCTGCAGCTGTGGGCAGGTTGTTGCTGTCAGCACTGCTCTCTGCTGGACTTGGTTGGGTCCCCGGCAGGGTTCGCCCCCTTTCCGGCAGCATCTTAGCATCTTCCTGTGCCCACCCTGGGTTGGGGAACGGCCCTGATGTGTGGAGTAACCAGTTGGCACTTCCACCTGCCGTTTCTTCCAAACCCATTTCCTTCTTGGTGTCTGGTGTCGTTGGTGGAGTCCTTCTCAGGGTCCTGAGAAGCCAGGAGCCAGGCAGACTGCAGGCCTGGTTTACCTAGCAAAAGAACCTTTAGATATTGGAGAAAGGAAAATAGGAGAGCAGAGAAAAAGGCCGAGGCCCAGCAGATCTATCAGCCCAGGCAAGCCTGAGGAGGGAGGGTGTTAGGTTTGAACAGCCATGGGGCAGCCTGGGCTGGTCACCTCTCAAGTCTAGAGGGACAGACACAGGAACCAACACCATGCCACCCTCCTGCCTTGGCCTGTGGGTGTAGGCTTTGAGGAGGAGGGCCACACTGCTTCCAGTCCTCTGAACAGAGGGCGTTTCACTCAGGTGGGCTCAGAGCCTTCAGCCCAGAGGTAAAGGGAGACAGCGGACCAGACAGTCGGGATCAGATCATTATATAGGACTTGCAGGCTGGTTCAGACCACTACCTTTGGCCAAAATGGTCAACAGATGACAAGTATCCTCGGCTCTGGGTGTCCTTGCCGACCCAGGCCCAGGACAGATCCCCACAGAGGGTGACTTGCTTTGCTGTGGACATTGGGTGTTTCAGCTGTAGCAGGAGTCTCTCTCTGGATCCTTGGCCTTTGGGACCAGGAGACCATGCATTGGTCATGCAGCTCGAGAGGGTGACCTGTGCTGCTTTGTTGGCCCAGCACTGGTCCACTCTGGTCCTGCAGGGGCCCTTTGCAGACTCTTCCGCCAGGGCAGTGGATTCTGCCACCCAGCCCTCATGGCAGGACAAAGGGCACAGTGTCTTGTTGGTGTTGGGTGCCCTCCGGAGGCCAATGCCACTACAGTGGAACTACCTGTGGCCAGTAAGTCTTTCAGGCAGGGTCCAGAGTGCAGCAGCTGGACAGTTAGCAGAGGGCAGAGCCCTTGGGCCATTCTCCCTTTCCCAGCTCTAAGTGGGTCCTCACTATGCACTCAGTGGGTCCTCAGCTTGTTCTTCCTGCCCTCCTTCTGCAGGTGTGCAGCAGGAGGGGCACCTGGGTGAGCCGGACCCATGGTCAGGGACTGTGTCTCTCAAGGTCATCTGGACATCCTGGACGCCCCCACTCACACACACCACATGGCTGGCAGCAGCTTCCCACACCCTCCTCCATGCTGTGTGTGAGGGTTGTTTTCCTGCCGCAGCCTCTGGCCCAGAGGAGTTTGCTGCAGAGTCGGAGCTGCTGCACAAGCAGGGGGGAGGGGGAAGGAGGGAATGGAGAAGCCTCCTTCAGCCACTGCTGGTACCCAGCTTCCTCTTGGTCTGACTGGTGGTGCTCCCCTGGGGGAGTCCCACCCAGCAAGCCCCGGAGCTACAGACATGTTGGGCTCCCTGGCCAGGACCAGCATGGAGGGCTCTGCAGACAGGGGATTGTGCTGTCTGCTGACAGAGCTTGGCTCTCTTGCCTGGTGGCCTTGCCTTCTGGGAGGGCTGGAACTTGAACCACCCTATCTGTGGTCCCACTATCTGGCCAGACCCCAGCAGCCGGTCCTTCTTCCAGTGTGTATGCAGGGCCTATCCTCTGCTGCCTCGGTTTCTTGCAGCTGAAGTGGCCACGGCGGCGGCGGCACTATTTGGGAGGGTGGTGGAGGAATGCTGCTTACTGAGGGAGGGCCCATGTCGCTGGGATGTCAGGTCCTCACCAGCTGCCTGCCCTCCACTCGCCTGCAGCCTGTTTGCAGGGCGAGCCCAGGGCAGCTGTCCACTGACCCCACAGAGCACAGGCATGCCCGCCAGCGCAGTTCACGCCTCATCTCTTTTATTTTTAGTGATCCCAGAAGGTGTTGGTAGGAATTGCAGCTGGTAGTTAGTTTTGGTCTCCCCACCCCTTCTTAAATATGTTTCTTGCTGAGAAAACCCGATGGTCAACACTGTGGAGGTCTGGGGAGGGAGTGTGTGGGCCCAGTTCTGAGGACTGTGACCTTCAGCACAGCCTCTGTAAAAGCAATGAGAACCCCTGCTCGCTCACTCCTGGGGTGGTTTTAAGGATAAAATCAGGTAGTGTACACGGAAATGCTTGACAAATGGAAATGTTCTCCTTCCAAGTCTGCAAGGAAGGAAAAGGCAGTGAGTGATCTTGCAGTCTCTCTGAGCTCCTTGTGACTTCTATTGGCTTATATTCGATTACTTAAAGCACTGTGGTTGGTCTGCAATGCTCATTTGTGTCCATGCTTTACCTAATATTATTTCACACACACATGCACACATACACACAACACACATAGAAACTCACCCTCTGCCAGCGAGTCAGTTCCAACTCACAGTGATGCTCTGTAGGATTTCTGAGATG